CCTGCCGTAACATCGTTAGGACACGTCACTTCCGCTCCGTTCACGTCACACCCGGGACCAACCCCCCCCGAGCCCCGCCCCCCCGTGTGACATCGCAGCGGGGAGCCAGCTGCCGCTTGGCCTGCTCGGTTGGGGCGCATGCGCACTGGGTAGCAGCGGCCGCTGGACCCCACCTCCATGCGTGGGCTATCCCCCCCCCGCCCGAGGTCTGAGGCGCAGGCGCCGTTGCCATAGCGACCTCTGTACACAGCCATGGCGGCGCCCCGGCAGGACGCGGAGCCTGAGGCTCAGGAGCTGGAGCAGGAGCTGGAGCTGCAGGCCGTCATCGGCTTCAATGGTGCGGGCCCTCCGCCTCCCAGCTAGAGGCGCCGCAAGCCTGGTCCCCTCCCGCTCCCCCCTGCGTCTCGCAAGGTGGCGAGGATGCATCTCTTCCCTGCCTCCCAGCCGCTGAGGCAGGCATCCCTGCTGCTGCCTTGCTCGAAACCGCCTCCCCGTGCCCTGCCCGCTCCCTTCCCTGGGGATTTCTTGGCTGCATCCCTGCAGTCAGAGCCATGGTGCCCTGGGGCCAGGGGCTGCAGGCAGGGGTTTGCTGAAGAGTCTGCGGAGCTGTTAAGCAACCGTATTCCCTTGATCTCTTTTCCTTTCAGGGCATATCCACGCCGGTCTGACCTGCCACCCCGATCGGGAGCACCTCATCTATCCGCTGGGCTGCACTGTGATTATTGAAAACTTGAACAACAGCCAGAGCTTCCTGCATGGTCACACAAACAATGTCTCCTGTGTTGCTGTGTCTCCGAGCGGACATTACATTGCTTCTGGGCAGGTCACCTTCATGGGGTTCAAGGTGGGTAACGATTTAAAAACATGGCAGCTCTTACAAACCACCAGTAGGAAATCTGCCTCTTCCTTGCAGGGTTGATTTTTTCCTTTGTTTTTGTGTGTTTTGCCCCATTGGATTTAGTGGGACTAGCCCTGTTACTTGTAACTACATTGGTGTACACCATCTGTCTGGAGTCGTTGGTTATTAAAACCAGGGGTGCTCAACCTCTGGCCCATGAGCCTCAGCCACCTTACAGGGCCCTGTCATCTAGCCAGTGGGTCTCACCATGTGTCTGGAAATTTGGTGGTGGGAGAGCAGCGGCACCATTCCCCTGCTGCCAAATCTCCAGACCCATGGGGAGCCCCAGGCCCTGTATGCTGGATCCAACACAAGATCCCAGGGTGCAGGGGCAGCACCAAGCCCCAGGACCCAATCCCTGCATGTGGGGCAGGGAGCGGGTGATGCCAGGCCTCAGGCTCAGATCTGGCCTGCGGACAGCCAAGTTTGGCCTGCAGACTGGCTCCAAGACACTCATCTGGCCCGCAGGGCCAAAAGGCCGAGCACTACTGGTTTAAATAATAGCTGGAGTTTTTGTTTTTGAGGGGAAAACAAATGCTAAGGTAGGAAAGCTATTACAGGAGACAGGGATTCATGACGAATCCATGCTTGGATCTGCTTCTGATTCTCTATATGTGATGTTAAACAAGTCTCTTGTTTTCAAAAGTGCCTGTGACTTTGGAGCTCAAGTCTCACTTTCAGAAGTGACCTGGGCATTTAATAATGGGGTTTAGACTGCTACATGACTGAGTCATTCTTCAAAATGGGACTGTGACTCCAAAGTCGCTTAAGGCAAGGCAACCGTATCTTAATGGCAAACCACCCCTTGCAAGCTCCATGGACCGCTCGTCCCCTGCTGCACCCCAGTTTCTGCTTTGGGCAGAGGGTTGATCTCTTGCCCTCCTTCCTGAAAGATCTAGTGAGAGCAATTTAGAGTGGCTAATTTAGTGAGCAGAGCCCTGCAGCTTGGGGAGAAAGCAGCTTTCTGTGTGGAGCTGGAGCTGGAAGTGCATGGAGCCCTCTGCAGGAGCTGGCATCAAGCAGATTAGCTGGCTGTTCATGAAATGCAGAATGGAGAATTTGGCTGGGATCTGACTGCTAGGCTGCAACAGGGGATCAGTGCACTATTCATAAAACATGAATTGGATCACAGGTTGCATTTTGCCTACAGCCTGTAGGTTGCCAACTCCCACATTAAGATAGGGGTGCACCAATAAAGATTTTTTTGACTAATACAGATGGCCAGTTATTAACCAGCCATATTGGCCAATACCGATCTGATTGCAAATATGCAGCCCAGCAGCTTGGAGAGTAGTGTCTGGCTGGTAAGGCTGTGCTGGGGAAGGGGCTTGGGGAGGAAAGGTTCATTGGAGGGGGGGAGAGGGCGCAGATCAAGGCCCTTGCCGTGTTGGAAAGAGTGGGGCTGGGGCAGGGGCAGGCTCAGGTGCTACACAACTGGAGCAGAGCATGGGACGGAGTCATAGCTCATCTCGGGGAGCAGCTCAGATCCAGCTCCTCCATTAGAAAGAGGCTGGTACAGCCCCTGGCTCTGAGGACACAGCAGCAGCCCACCCTCACCCTGTACACAGATCTGGGAGGGCACGTGCCCCCCATGCCTCCCCTGGGGGTGCATGCAGTGGCTGGAGCTGTCCCCCCTCCTCCCCTCCCGACAAGCTGTGGCTCTGTTCCATACCCTGCTCCATCCCAGCTGGGCAGTGCCTGCCCCTGCTCCAGCCCAGCTCCCTCT